AAAAAAAAAAAAAAAAAAAAAAAAAAAAAAAAAAAAAAAAAAAAAAAAAGCAAAAAAGACTGCATCATATTTAAATGCTTATGGGAAGAAGCTAGCACAAAATAAAGTAAGAAAACAAATGATGGGGTGAGACCTATTGAAAGTGATCCAGAGGCATGTGGGATACAATGATACAGCGTGGTTACATTCCTAACTATTCAGCACAAACACTTTCTGTATGTCCAGTCTCTGAGACTCAGTAATTGAACAGATTGTTCTTCATTTGGAGATGCAGTGTGGTTTGGTGACCAGAACATAACCCTGAAGTATTCTAGATTTTATTCCCAACTTTATCAGTACCTGTCTACGTGAAGTTGAACAAATGGCTTAGCTGGTGTGAAATGTAAATACAGTCTTTGCTATATGTCCTCTTATTTTTTTTTTAAAGAGAAATTGTGAGTCAATTGTACCACAAGTAGTAATTCATTGGGATTTTTTTTAGTTAATTGTTTTCTGTTTTTATAAATTTAACTGGTTTTATATTAGGGATATAGAGCCCTTTATATTTTTTATCAGAACATATCTATATTTCTTCGCCTTACACTGTGTCCTGTGTTACAATTCAGATATAACTACAACTTTAGTAATGCGGGCTCTTAGAATTACTATATCACTCTCTATGATAGGTATTAGATTGTTGAGTATGGCACATAGTATGTCCAAATTTTGTTCTGAAACTATCACTGATTTATTGTTCATTGCAGTTGTTTTGAAGATGTTCAGAGCACTAGCCTACTCAGCTGGGAATTAGAAACTGTGAAACAATTGAACATTCAGGAGTTCTGAATTCTAAGTCCAGCCATAGTTCTTGGTGGGCTCATCCTTGACAAGCCATTATTTTTCTCTGTGCCTGATATTCTTCTCTATAAAATGTATATGTTCTTTCAGGCTTTCATTACAAAAGTCTGTGAGAACATATTGCGAGACAGTGTCTGAATATGAGAAAATGACCCTTAACCCCAATAGATAAAAGGAGGATTAGGAACTCTGTAAATAGAGATTGCTAAATATTTGGAATCAACTACAGTCTGCTGCCACTGGGTTTGACTTGTAATGACCGGTTCCCTACCCAGAGGCTCTATGAGTGTGGAATGCTGAGATCCAGAGAGCCCTCATCCTGCTTCCTCCTTGGGACACTCTGAACCAGTCAGTTGCCCAGATACCATCAGTGTCTCCTAATGAGGATTTGCAGCGGTCATTTGGCTATCAGGTGCTTGCTTCTGCAAGCAGAAAATGTTCCTGTTTTATTTGTCACCACACAAAGTCCCTAATGGACACTAAGAATGAGAAAAAATAAAATTCATGCTCTTTTGTCCTCCTCCTTCCCCCAGACACATACTTTCTCAGGGACAGCCTAAACAAGTGAGTAAAAAAGAAGAAAATCACAGTCAAACTATAAACCCTGTTATTTGTAATCAGTACATAACCTCTGTGATGAAATTTGTGAGTAATTCACTTCCCACTTAAGCCTACCAATGTGTGATCTAATGTTGCCACCCTGAACACTATGAAGGAAGTCAGACAGCAGTACAGCTTGCCCTTGGGGACTCATTTCTCACATCACCAAAAACTAATTTCTGTTGTTTTCAGCCATCTGGTAGCCTGGGCTGTGAAGATGAAGTTTCATTCAAGTAGTGCTTATGAGCAAAGGCCTGGAATTGGCTGGGATTCAAACTCATTTTCTGCCCCTCACCTAGCCCCCTCTGTGCCTCAGTTTCCCAACCATAAATAAAATCTTCATAGGATATCATTTATTATAATAAGTTATTGAAGTAATATTTGTTAAATACTCTATGTAGGGCTTTATGCATAATAAATGTTTAAAGTTAGCTATTAATTGCATTGTTAATAGTAGTGGCGTCAGAAGTATTAGAAGTATTTTTTAATGCCTACCTGTCTGTGACACAGGCCTTATTAATTCACTTTTTAAGTTCTAAGATACTTCATGCAGCCTGTTATATACAGAGATGATATTTAGATGCTTACTATTGTGGTGACTAACCCATGTTCCTTATGTGACTAGATTATAAGTAACCAGGTATTACCACATCTTAATAACACAGTAATATTATCTTATGGTAAGTCACATTGTTTTTCTTTTGCTGGTATTTGGAGAAGGGACTGGATTATATTTATTTATATATACATAAGAAAATAAGTAACAATAAGAAATGATGTATTATTAATTCACATAAATGTGCATGCTCTATAATATCTAAATAAGGTCCATTCTAACATTTTTAAAAGCTAAGATTTTTTTCATCATACTACTCTCTTTCCTACAGCACTCAGTTGGCCATTGTGAAGGGTGTTCTTACCTTATGGGAGTGCTTTAGGACAATTTATAGATTTGGTAACCAGGTGACAAGCATGAGTCTTAAAAGCACCCTACTTAACATAAAAATTCAAAGTAAGTTATAAAACCTTGAATTTGCACTTCCAGTTATATGGCTACAAGCCTAATCTTACTGACAGGGTTACATATTGCATTTCCCTTTGTTTTCACAGTCCCACCAAAGATCTCCAACATCTCCTCGGATGTCACTGTGAATGAGGGCAGCAACGTGACCCTGGTCTGCATGGCCAATGGTCGTCCTGAACCTGTTATCACCTGGAGACATCTCACACCAACTGGTAAGCAATGCTTCAGGTTCCAATATGCCACACACTGTTTAAGAGATCGTCATGCTCCTGAAATTCTGTTGCATCAGAAGAGCATGCATGTATCTTATTAGTAACACACCAAGAGAATGGCAACATAAGTCTTATTTAGGGTCCTCATGGTCTTTGCTAATGTCTTCACCTCTATAAAGTTTACAATCATAGTACTGAATATATATGTGTATAGATCTATCTATCTGTAAAATCTCAGTTTCAACAGAACAGCCCCCCTCTCTGGCAACTCAACAAATACAGAAGCATTCAATGGCTTGATATTATATGTAAAATACATGCCCATTTGGTGATTGAATGTCTTGGGGCAATATTTTGTCTGAGTTAATTTACATAGTTGTTTGCCTGTTTGCTTTGCTTTACTTTTAACTACAGTTTTCTAACTTGTAGCACCTTGTGAAGAAATCTATCGGGAAAATACAGAATTGTTTCTGACCTTTATTGTCCTGTCCTTGGCATCTGGTTCTGTGATGGGCATCAGACATGCAGTAAGCTTCATGAACTCATTTTGAGTCCCAGCTATTGATACTAATTCAGTCAAAATCAGAAACTCATTTCCCAGGAATGTCTTCCACATCCTTTCTTCCCCTTTCTCACCACCATTGCCATAAAAAGGTTCCAAGGCCTCCTGCTTTTTGAACTTTATTGAAATATTTGAGCACATTATTTCAGAGTATCTGCATACATACTCCTCTACTCTACCAATTACATATTCTTGTACACAAAACCATGTCTTTTCAAATAACACAGTCTTTATAGAATGTAGCCTACTATTTAAATCTTCCAGAAAGATAGGCAACAGGTCAATTATTGTTATAAGATATAATTGATTTTGTAGGTAACCCACAAAGTTAACTAATTTATATCTTATAGTCACCTAATATTTTCTTATAAAAGCAACTAGAGATGTGTTACAACATATTCATTTTACAGTGAACACTATAAAAATATTATTCAAAGCTGGATGTATAACAGGAGCTAAACTGCGACATTTCTAAAAGGCCAGCATAATGTTTGGTTATAATGTCTTTAAAAATATCTGTGTTTTATGGTGTGAAAAGACAAGTCCTCTGTTTGATGTTAGAACCCAAATTAATTTCTCAAGTAAAATTTGGACCAACCAATAGAATGGTTTTATATTTAGGCAGGCATTCTTATTAGAGGCCTCTATTTTCTTGAGGAATTGTCACTGAAAACCCATTCTTATGAACACCTGAAGCTTATTTATTGATAATACGTATATATATACATGAGACACTTATTTGGGAGAGGAATCTCAAACTCATTGAGTTACCTACTTATTTTAGACCTCATTTGGAAAAAAAATATATAAAGATTGTCTAAAGTACGAACATGCAGACATTATATCTTTTTAGTGGAATGAATTAAACCTTCAGAGCACATTCTACTTGGATGGCACTGTGTTGGCTCCAATCCCATGCCACCTACCCCTGTCCCAAGAAGCATTGCTTTTACCGAATAGCAATTTGGTATAGAAGTTATTGACTCATATTTAAGGATGTTATAAAAGACACCTAAAATCATTGTGTTTACTGTAATGTTATTATTGAGAGATTGTTAATTGTTTCACATAGTTTTCCTTTGAAAAGACCCTTTGAAGAAATTTTTCAGTATCTCTACTTTCTTTTTTCCTAAGCAATTGTTTCTTTTTTAAGAAAGGACCTAGTACATTTTCCTAAGTGACTGTATGTGCTTTATTCTTTGACTACAGCTAGTGCGCGATGTACGACCACGATTGGTTCCGACAGACCGGTTGTAACACGATTTGGTCGTAAGTTGAGTAGGCTATATGTACAGTTGAAATGGTGCACGCGGAGATAGTGCTGCCAGAAGCTGGTCCGCACTGTCGTACGCCCAGCTGGGCAACGTTTGCGCTGCCAGACGCGGAGCAGTTGTGGCTAGCTATTGTTGTCATAAAGTCGAATGGTTGTAAGTTGCATAGGTCGTAAGTCGATCAATATCTGTATTAGCAAACTTAGAGCCAAATTTATGACCATGTGTAAAAATATATACATTATTATGCATAAATTACACATTAAAATTGATTATAAACAAGCTATATAGGAGGCCGAGGCGGGTGTATCACGAGGTCAAGAGATCGAGACCATCCTGGTCAATATGGTGAAACCCCGTCTCTACTAAAAATACAAAAACATTAGCTGGGCATGGTGGCGCGTGCCTGTAATCCCAGCGACTCAGGAGGCTGGGGCAGGAGAATTGCCTGAACCCGGGAGG